ATATAACAATATAAATAAAATATATGTTGAAAGTCCGCTTTCCTAATGCAACTCGAGTATAACTAGAAGGAAATTATTGAAAAAAGTAAAAAAAGACTTGAAAAATTCATAACCACAACACCCGCACCTTAAATTAGTATTAAGCCCTCAGGCTATGAATTTTCTGAAATTTTACAGAAAAGCCCAGCATGAGATTAATTAGCTAGTTTGCCCCGCATAAATGCACACAGTTCATACATTGTGCATAAAGATAACTGGCAAAAATCCATTAGTGAAGAAGGAAAAAAGTAAAAATCAAAGCTTAAATAAACAAGGTTTAAATCGAATCCTTTGTTCCGTAAGTTAACAGAATTTTGAAAATTAGCACTTGACAGATAATTATCTGAGGATCTCCTATGAACTATTCAAAACAATAATTTATGACAAAGACATGACGTTAAATCAAAATCTCGACGCTAAACTTTATTGATGAGATTGATGAATCAATGCTTCAATGCAATATAACTTCTTTCTCTAGCTCACTATTTTTTAATTATAATAAGTAAGTAAACATAAAGATATAAATAGAAAAAATGTTTCTGAAAAATATTCAAAAGAAAGCCAACTTCAAAGCCAACCTCGCATGCTAATAGGTATAAATATTCGGCTAAAACCACGTTATTTACCTCAACGATAATACCGATATTGCATTGCATCCATTTTTCATTATCCGTTACGATTCAATAGCGCCAGTACAATTATTTTGTTCCTGAATAAATTATGTAGAGCTTTTAAGTTATGTCAATTTTTTGCCTTATGAAGACAAAGATATACCTTAATTTTAAGCCAATAACTGAATGGTGTATCTCCGCAAGAATTTGTAGAAAACTAACCATCGCATTTTCACTAACCAGCTTTGGGCGACCATCTTCTTCAACATAGGACAATACAAATTATTCTTGATACAATATAATTATGTATATAATTGCATATAATATGGAAACTCCCGCATCGGTTACTCGTTTCGGTTACACAATGTAAGTCAACCTCTTTCATAAAATGGACTAAACTCCAAAATTTATGTATAAGCAAATAGTCCAAAAAGACTCTCAACTTTTATACGCGCTACAGAATGCATAATATTCGTAACATGACACATCCGTTTGAAAATAACTTATTGAAATAAGCGCACGCTGGTACATATATATAACTTTCTTAGCAATCGACTACCATGAAGTGATCCAATTTCTGTACATGTTATGAATATAAATTTTCGGTCCACATCGACAATAAACGAAGTAATTCCCTTTAGTTTTCTTAGGAATTTTTATTGTTATTTAGGCACGCTTAGGCCATGCAATAATATCTGGTGCAGCATTTATCTGTAGAAAAAAAATTTTTTTGATTGCTCCAGCAGTGCGTCCTTGTAGCGAGTTTAAAAATTCACTTCCAATTGAAATTAAAAATTTCGTGGTCAGCTATGTCATCTCAACAGAAAGTCTTTACGGGAAAGAGTGGTGCCATCACATTTATCCACTGGATATATCTTTCCTATATGATGATGTCATTGTGAATCATCTTTTTATGTATATGTAACGCCTTCTTTTAAATTAATTTTTGTATGAAAAAACAACTTCAATTCCCAAAATACGTCGACAAAAATCAATAATTCAGAGTATTTCTGTATACTCCATTAAAAAGAATAGCTCGGTTTGGATGAATTGATGTTTCGAATCCTCGCCTGTATGATCGTTCCTACAACAAGTAGGCTTTTACTGGGGCAAACAGTCTAATTTTCAATAATTCACAGAAGAACTGGTCCATAACAGTAGTTCGACACAAAAATCTACTTAGCAAATTTAGACCAAGTACATACATCAATATTTCGCATCCCACGGCGTACAGGGGCTCCCTTGCAAATTAAGGCTTTGTATTAGAATGAAATATAGTCTCAGATTTTGAAAGCAAAACTATTCCATAATAGTAATTTGACATGAAGAAATTAAGTGTACCAAAAATGAGCCACGTACATTTATTTTCGAACTCCACCCGTTATAAGTTTACCCGTGAAAGGTAAACATTTCTGTGACAACAAAGTCTAATTTTTCGTACTTGGTGGGGAAATTGCTGTTGACGATCAGATTAATTTTTGAACCACTTCAGTCCACGTTTTGGACGCTACTCCACGTAAAAAGTATCATGGGAATTGTACCCTTGCTTAGAAACAAAATATAATTTTTGGTACTATATCACGAAAATTAATGAAGAGTTATATTAAACTATCTGGTGTGGGGTATTTAACGTTACAACAGCATTACCCGGCCATAATGTTTTTACTTGCTGAAATCTTAAAGTTAAGAGAAATTGCTCAAGCAAGTCTCTCAACCGCCCAATTCATTGATTTTCTAGCTTGCCTTAGAAAAAGAAGCGAGAAGGAAAGCATCAGAGTTGAAGTTATTAATGTGTGTTCTCGCAAAAACAAACGGACACTTGAAGATTATTAAGTCGATTATCTTATCCATACAGACCAAAATAGAACGTAATTTATATAATTTCTATGCTTTACAAATGTTTAATAAACTTAATATGTTGGCGGGGGTGAAGGTATGAAAATACATTTTTCTTACCTTATTTTATGTCACTCATACGCTCCGATAACCCTACACATTTATTGCATCATTTCTTGGGAAAAATATTACTAAGTTTAAATTAAAGCCTGACTATTGCGTGTTCGAAATGCGCCCTACTGTATGATTATAGTGCAGTTTTCTCGTTTGCTTTGCTTTCAAAAAAAAACTACTCACTAATCAACTCGAACAGTTGTAGAAAGAAAACGAGATTGTATATTAAATACGTCGATTCAAAAATTTTCCAAAAACAAAGTGAAATATATAAGAGAAAAACCTGAAAATCTATTCGCTTATCTACGCCGGTGAATATTTAAGAAGACATCGAGGAGCGAGAAAAAACCACAGATAAAAAATTAATTGCCTTACACGAATTACAAGTCGTGCGTAATAATTTTAAACATTACGATGTCGACAACAACGACGACGTTCTGCATTTACACATTGCTGGGCTCAATTTGTTCATTACATGGTGTACTCTCGTACGCTTACAATATCTCCAAATGTGTATCAATTTATTAACTTGTCTGCCAGACATCTTTACGCCTTATGCATACATAAACAACGTCAGGATTTGATCTGGAAAAGCGAAAGAAAAAACAACTTATGAGGAAGAAAAAAAAAAAAAAGAATTTGAAATTTATTTATGAAATATTTAAGCAATTGATAAAGCATTTACATGTTGTGTGTGCATTAGTTGAAAGAAAATTTGTTTTTACAAATGTTGTAATATACCTTTAATGTATGGCGCGCGCGTAAATACATATTTATTATTTATACATTATTCTATACACATATACGTATTATATATTTATATTTTGTATTTGTTGCAGATACGGTTCCAATACTTCAATCGTCAACGACGATTGCTAGTGCTGGTAGCAATGCATACACTGCTAACGTTCATGGTTGTCTATACAACAAAAATCACTGTTTCGATGGCAGCAGTCATACATGCGGAAGACAACGTAGACAGCGAACCAGAAATGTTGGAATATGCACCACAATTTGTAAGCAATTTTTTTTTTTCGTTTCTCATTTCATTTCATTTAATTTCTATTTATTTTTTTTGTTTTTGTTTCGCACTTGCTTCTATCGCTTTTCTCCTTTTCGAAAGGGGCTTTCAAGTTAATTAAAAGTGTTGTGTTTACAATTTTCTTCAAATATACAATTCGGGTTAAAAACTATATTTAATTAGCTAAATTTACATTATGAATATTAAAAGACCATTCTTTAAAGGTAGTCATTTACTAAAGACACTATTATTATATACAACATCTAACTGTTGATTGTCTCGTTCATATTAGAAATAATGCTTAAAAAAAGCAATTAACGCAAAATTTTCGGATCAACGCCTCCCTAAATGTTTGAATATTAAAATTAAAATGATATCCAAAGAAAGTGAACCTACTCTTAGAAGCTATTTAAGAGAAAGGATAGAAACTTAAAGCTTTTGATTACGTAAAAGACATGAGTTACCCATTATTTCAAATAATTTTTTTTTAATATTATTGAGTTATCCAAGATCACACAAATATTCGACTTTCACCCTGAAATTTCAAATATATCATTTGAAAATCCTCTAACGACTAACAAACATATAATTTTCGAAATATTCTATAAACGCAAACACTATACCACGGAGTGATGGGCCGCTTTCATCGTTGGGTTTCACAACCAATTTCTAATCTACTAAAACACAAAGTGCTTTTAAAGCCTAATGATTAACTAAACTGCTTGTTTCCATTGGCGCTTATAAAAATCGTCAAAGAGGACTTGTACAACGGACGAACTTTAACGGACGTAATTAATAAAAATAAATTTAAAAAAAAAGATCCGGCTCTTTTATTAAATACAGCATTGCGGCAGTTAACCACGTATTAATCATTGGAATTAAAGAAGATTCTCTGGTCCCGATATTCAATACATTCCTGCAATATAAGCCACGGCTCATGTCGGAAATTTTCTATTATAATAAATATTTAATTCTCTTTTTTTTTGAACCCTCATTTCATATCTTTGTATCCGTTTGTTTTTTGCTTAATAAAGATGACTTGGATCTCGTTCCTTACGAAGACGGTGATTAAAGACAGGCCGCTGTTGCCAAAGCAATAATTTGGTTCTTAAGAGTTAAACAATGTTACAGACCTTTAAGCGCTATTTCGTTTGCCAAAAAATAACTTTTCTGCTATTTTGTAAGACTTAAGATTTTTTCCTCTTTACTCTTTGTGCTCATTGTTAAAACATATTATTTAAGACTATAATTTTCGAATTAAAAAAATGAAATATTTAAAAAAATCAGAAAAAGTCAAGTAGTAAAACGTAGTAGTAATAGGTCGTAATATATTTAATATAAATATGTCTGTCTAAATGGTAAGAATAATTCGAAATATACTTGGAAAAACATAACTTGAAAAAATTGCACTCTGTTCTAAACGCATGCTTTGATGTAACCGTCTTCTCTCTACCTTCTGCTACACAAACTCATAGCCTGTTATACAAGTATGTTCACAAATCCACCTGGAGTTATAATGTCGAAAGTATTAATGAAAAGATAAAACGAAGATTTCACGACAAACATTTTCAAACAATAACAGACTTTCTAATGCCAAACCAAAGCGTCAACTTTACCATAATTTTTAATTGAAGTCCCAAATAACAGGACTAACTGCACGATTATATAATCATATCAAATATAGAAATTATTACTCGCCTTTTCTAATAGATAAAATTGCATTGGGTTTAACGGCTAGGAAAATATTATGGTGCATGATGTAAATTAATTAACTATTTTGAAGACTCTTTTAAGAAATCAAAAGCTAAGAATTAAGTAAAACATTTTTTTTATCAGTTTATCAGTAACCTCTATCTTTGAAACCAAAAGTTAACGAGACCAACGGTTGACTGTTAGGAAGTGGCATATTTTAATATACAACACAAATAAGAAAGTTATATTCGGGTGGGCCTAATCTCGCATACCAACGACCATTAAAAACTTTGCCACCCTATGATTTTATTTAGTGTCATAAAGAAGTGGGTTGGATAAAATTTGTCCGTCACCTTTTACTGCACTAAAAGCAATATTTGTGTCAAGACTGGCACCCGATAAATCTGCGGATAACACAAAAAGTTATCTGGCAACGAAAGTCCCATCAGTCAATCTAAAGCGGATTAATATTTTTAAATTGGCTCTGTCTCAATCTAGAGCGATCCCTTCTTTTAAAATTCTTGCTACGACTGAAAACATTGATATGTTGTTAGGTAAACCACTGTGGCCAGTTCGATCCTTAATTAAAGAATTTATCCCTCGTGATCGTCCCCGTAATACTAAACCAGTAGTCTTGTCGCCTTCAAAAACCTAAATGTTTCTTCAGGCTCACTATCTCTCATTTATCAAAAATTCGTTTTACTTCCCTAAATTCAGTGGACACGGAGTTCTCCTGTTTGGCCTTCACTGAAACTTGGTTAAAGCCGGATCTACATTCGTCGGAACTTTTCCATAATTCGTTTCAAGTTTTCAGAAACGATCGATTGTATCGCAATTGTGGTGATGTTTTAATTGTCATTTCTTCGGCAGTCCCCTCCTATTCATTAGAATTTCCAACTACTCACGACGTTGAATTTATCGTCATTCGAGTGATATTTCCTAATAAACACTTATATGTGTCCTGCTTCTATATTCCCCCAAATTCAGATATCTCTGTATATAAGAAACAGGCCGCCCTCACTTGTGAAGTGGCCCAGCAATCTAAACCTACCGATATAGTCATTGCGTTGGGTGACTTCAATTTGCCTTAAGTCACTTGGTGTAACAGTGACAATTCTGACTGTACTTCAACATCTGATAGAGCTGTTGTGTTCTTTAACGAATTATTTGCTCATAATTTAGTTCAATACAACCGTATTCTTAATTGTAATGGTAAACTACTTCATCTCTGCTTTGCCAATGTCCCTGAAATTTGTGTAAATCGTTGTCCACCTTTTAGTTTACCTGAGCATCCTTATAACCCAGCAATGTGTATTTCCTTTCATCACATGCATGATGGTTCCTTGAATTGTTTTAATGTGCCAAATCAAACTTTTTTAAATAAATTTTATGATTTTCATAAAATCAATATTGTATTGCTAAAACATCGTCTTTCACATATGAGGCTTGATATCTCAACCGGAAGTATTGAAAGCTCATTGTCATGGTTCTACAATACATTAAATCTAGCTATTGCTGCATCCGCTCCGAGCAAGTAATGCCGACCTCGAAGCAAGTTTAATAAGACAATTAAATATAACAAGAACAGAAAAAAACGCTATTCAAAAAATATTCGAAAAGTGGCGCTGCTCTTGACTATTTCGCTATTTCGTTATATAGTGTTATCTCTAAGATTTTGAACCGGTCTTTGAATTTAGGTATTTTCCCTCTGTGTTGGAGGAGTATTTTCTTTATTCCCATTCACAAAAGTGGAAGTAGATAACTTGCTGAGCACTACAGAGGCATAGCCAAGTTGAGTGTCTTGCCCAAATTGTTCGAGCGAATTGTGACTCAGCATTTGGCCTTTGCCGTTAATTCGTATATTTCTCCCCACCGGCTTTCGGAATGTTATATACATCGATTTAAGCGAAGCGTTTGATATGGTTAACCATAACTTACTTATCTTTAAACTCCAAGCCTCTGGCTTCCCTTTCTATTTAGTGAAATGGATAAGCTCTTATCTGCACAATAGATCCTTTAGAGTTTTGTTTAACTTCATCACCTCGGATAAATTTCCCGTTATGTCTGGAATACCTCAAGGCAGCCACTTAAGTCCTACTTTATTTAGGTTATACTTTAATGATCTCCCATCGGCGGCTAATTCCAGCCAGATCCTAGTGTACGCTGATGATGTGAAATTGTTTTCTTCCTTCTCTGTAGAATCGCAATCACATCAGCCTCAAATTGATTTGAATAATTTGGTTGCATGGTGCTCTTTGAATCTTCTGAAAGTAAATCTAAATAAATGTAAGAAGCTTTCTTTGTCAAGAAGAAAGTCATCCATTACTCAGTATTTCATTGATTCGCATAGGTTGGAGGACGTCGTTCTATTTGACCATAGATTACGTTTTAACTTGCACATTGAGCTCTCGTTAAGCGAAGGTAGGTCCGTGCTTGGTTTTATTAAGAGGTGGTCTAAAGAGCTTGATGATCCTTACATTACGAAAAGGCTGTACATGTGTTTGGTTAAACCTATACTTGAGTATGCCTCTGTTGTGTGGTCTCCTTCATATAGGTAGCATGTAGATTCAATAGAATCTGCTCAAAAGCAATTCTTGCTTTTTGCCTTTAGGAATTTGGGTTGGGATCCGATTGTCTCTCTTCCCCCCCATGAAAATAAGTTGCTTCTGTTGTCCTTACCGTCGCTCGAGAAACGTAGACTTGTTCTTGGTGTTTCCTTCGTAATCAAAGTAATAAATGGTGCTATTGACTCGCCTGCATTGCTTGGTGAAATAAGCTTTAATGTCCCCAACCGCTTCTCTAGGCACTTTATCTTGGTTAAGCTTAGTCAATGTATATATAATTATGAGCTGTTTAACCCGCTCAGAGTTGTTTGCAAGAACCTAAATGACGTCTATCACTTATTCTCATTATCGGACTCCTTAAAGTCCATTAAAGCAACATTGCTTAATGCGCTTAATTTACCTATGTCGTAACTAGCTTTAACGTTAAAATGTCACGATGAGTCGAAAATTAATTGTTGTTAACTGTTATCGGTTGCCAAGCTTATGCATGGTTGGGATGGCTTAGGGGTTCATTTGCAATTTAGTCCTGCACCGGTTGTAAGTGTGGCTCTATGCAGGTTGTGCACATTCTTTTCTTTTTTTTTTCTTTCTTATTTGTTTTATTGTACTTATACTAAGTTTTAATATTAATTAAATTAAGATTTACTTTAAAAGTCAATTAAACTCGACTATCAAAATTTTTAGTTGAGTTTCTTGTATAAGTGGAATAAATAAATAAATAAATAAAAGGTATTGTTAAAAAATATTAATCTACCAGGTCGTGGCGACCATTTTACGTTACATTACATTAGAATTAACATACTTAGCTTTTCGTATTCTACTCTCCATATCGATGGTATAAATAAAAAAAAATTAATCCAAATCCCTCAAAAAAGTGAAGACCACAAAATTTAGTCGCCTGTAACTTTGTGTGCGCATGGCCGATTTTTGCTCATACATAGTAGGGATTTTCATAAAATAAATGTGAAAAATTTCAGGCTTGTATATTTTATGATTTGTGAGCAACAACCCACAACTTTTTGTTTCAAAAAACGGAGTTTCGTTCAGTTTACGCCTCACTGCGGGCTTGTACAATTTGACTCGTTTTCAATAAAAACAACATCGATCTCACAGACGAACAGACATGGCTTTATTAATTCAGAATTTCATGCTGCTCAAGCGCGTATGTACTTTATAGCGTCTCTGAAGTTTCCTTTTGGGTACTGCAAACATCGTGACAAAATGAGTACATCCCCCATTCTTCAGTGGTGGGTATAAAAAAAAAAAAATAATATTTTATAACTCAGAGTATTTGCGTTGACTTTGCGCAAGTACGGTGTCCCGTTAAGATGTTTTACTCCTTTTACATCTGAAAATGCTCAAAGCCGCTTAAATAACAGCAACAGTAATGACAACAACCGCTTATCAAACTTTCAATATCCGCTAATTACAGTAAAATTACAGCGCACCACGTTATTTGTGTAACGTAGTTCCATTGACTATAATGTTGCACTCATATGTACACATGCATGTTTGCTGAAACAACATTAATTTATTATACACGTTTGGAAACGAAAATTTATTAATTAAATTTTTATGTTTTATTAATCATATAAGTATCCATTTCGTCGGTCAATCTGTTAACCTTTCGTTGTCTATTTTCGGTAAAAATGACGACATTTCGTAAAAGAAAATATTTGTAATAATATGAAAAGAAAAACCGTCAAGCAATCACTTATAAAAGATTAATTGAATAGAGCCCAGCTTATGATTCAAACATAACTATGGCAAAAACAATAATAGCATGAAATATTTGACGATTTTTATACACCCTCGGAACATAATAATAAAATCATTTTTCAATTATGTTTGTAACATTTAGAAAAAGCCATTAGAGAACCCATAAAGTAGCCGTGTTCGACCGTCCATCCCTTTTTGTTGGTGTTTGTTTGTTGAACATTTAAAATCGTAAAGCTTCCAGAAGGAAAATTGGATAATGCGTTCGCGCACTCGTCGCACAAGATGAACAAGTCAAATTTGACAGCAGACATGATCAATCCCCACAATGACGACACATTAAGAACAAAAAAAAAAAAAATTAAATAAAAAAAAACATCTCAAAGGAAGATTTAAAAATATTATTAAGAGTAAAAGAAACTAATGCTGATTTTCATACAAATAAATAAAGAGATCATCCATCAATTTATTATCGACTGAGACGTCCATAGCAATTAATAATGTATACATTATAGTTTGTGATTTTTCATTTATTCAATTAAAGTAGTAGATATCCAAGATTCGCTTTATGGCGAATATAATTTTCTTATCTGTTTTGTTTTTTTTTTCTTTTTTGGTTCGTTCTATTGCTTAGCTCACAAGATTGTTCAATTAAGCGGTGACAAGTAGCAGAAACCAAATTTGGAGCATTTATCTGGTCAAGTATGTAGTCCAGATATGCGTGCATGCATTTATATATATTTATACACACAATTGTGCTTACATACGTACAAAAGTGTGAATGAGAATGTGGGTATAATTGCAATTTCCAAAAAACAAATAAAGTAGTGTGGAGGCGACATGCAATTGCCGTCTATAGTGAAAATTGTCAGTTTATGCACATATGTAGTAATCGGTTAGAAAACAATTTCATTTAATTGATTGATATCATAACAAATTATCTTCTTAAATGCTTGGAACTTTAAACGTCCATCTTAGGAAATCAAGCTTTAAGCTTTAAGACATGATAAAATCAAGGATATATTGCCGTAAAAGACACCATATAAAAATTATACAAGCTTTCGCCGCAAACATGACGTACCAATTTTTCAATTCGATTTGTTCGTGTGTCTATGATTACAACATAAACTGTACATTGATTTAATAATTTAATAAAAGAGAAAAAGGAAACCCCAGACCAAAACACGCAGCCTCCGAAGTAAAGTGAAAAAAAAAACTTTAAAAGTTGCATTTATAGACAGACAAAACTGTCTCATGATACCAATTAATATGATTTGATTAGAAAAAAAGAAAAAATAGGTGTCAATTGACAATCACTTATTTACGCACATTTATATGCATCGCCACGCAACATACAGACTCACTCAAAAACACACACACACACACACACACACACACACACACACTGGTTTCATTTGAATACCCAAGCACATTAGTGTGCACATATACAAATGTACCAATACATCGAACGTACGTAATGTGTAATGCATATCTGTATATATTGCATATATGTATGTATTTATATATGCATGTATATATAAATATATATATATATGTATGTATGTATACACGTATGTATATACATTTATTAAAAGAAACACTATGCATACTTCTCTCTTCAGCAGTTATGTGTGATATGGGTGTGTACATGATAATTGGCAACATTAATTTGAAAGTCAGTAAATAGTTACGTATGCACACACGGCGCATTTATTTGTAAATAGATACACAATAGATATATATGAGCAGACATCAATTTGAAATTTTAGCTTCAGGTTCACACAGCGATAATCATTTGCTGTTGAAACGTATTCAATTTATCTTTGCTAAGTACAAAATCCCAACATAACAACGAAATTTTTCTTTAAAAATGTGTGAAGGAAGAAAATTAATTTCGACACATCACTATTAATTAAATACTGAAAAGTTGTCAGCCCGCAGTTTAACTTTAAAATATCGATTTTTTTTGTTTGAATCAATAACGGAAACAAATAAGACTTTATGTGAATGCACCCACCAAACAGTAGCTCTATACTCTCTACAGAGTAAGCGAACACATTTTTCTTCTCTGCAAAATTTTAAAATTATATACTATGAATCCACGTTTAGAGCATGCCAAGGCTTCTATCGCATGCACCGACCGCGTAAATTATCAGCAGTGACACTAAAACAAATGAAAATTTTGTCATAGTAAAATTCAAACCGTCCATGGGTCCTTCGATTCATCTGTATGTCGCCTATTATTAAGATAACTATCGTCGCAAAAATGGAGAAAGAAATTTGAAACTTGACTTATGTCTATGACCTATAGATGTGACTCACTTACCAATGCGTCTCCAATAGATCCAAAACGAGAAATGCTATATTTAAATGATGACCTCAATAATTTACAAACTATTTTCTAACTGTTATAAATATTGTTACACATTGATCTAAAACTTCGCATCAATATTTAACAAATCTCTCGTAATGTTTGATGCAAAAGCAGTCACATTCGAGCAATGGAAAAAAAAGAGCGGTAAAAATGCAACTTTCGCGCGCGACTGTACGCGTTTTCCCTTCTTTCTCTCGTCTGTCCTCTTGTTTGTACTTCTACTATGAGCTTTTTGAATTCCTTACATCACCACAAAACCGGAATCAGAGTTTAAAACTCTCACTGACGATCACAAGATGGTAACAAATGCAAAACTGTATTCGCTTGACATTTAAACGTCAATATTCAGCACCTCAGATCAATAGTTTAACCTCTTAAAGCATTTTCCATACAAGTGTAGGGGCGAACAGACAATAAGAGAGTCTCGACGGATATCAGCTCTGAAGGGAAATTACAAATTAAAAATATTCATATCAAGTGTAACTCTCTCGCATCGCATGATCATTTCCAAAAGACTCGTCATTTTGATTAAGCTAAACAGCTTTCTCAAAATATCAGAAAATATATTCTCATGTAAGCCACACAAAATAGGTCTCAGTTTACCATATGAAATATCAAACAATGAAAATTTTCTGTCGTAATAAAGAAAAGTATTTTTCCCATTGCATTAATTAAAATGTCCGCTTCGATTACCTTGGCCCAATAAATGTTCGATAGAATTCGATTCAGTATAAACAGAAAAGTCAGACAATCAACTAATAAACTATTTTAGAGCAGCGTGTGGATTTTGTGTAAACAGATTGCAGACAATGAGTTGTTGCGATTTTCTAGGTGTGGTTAGACACATGCTGAGCAAGTGCGTTAATAATTTATTTAAAAACAATTTGATCTCAAGTCAGTCACACGAAAAAAGTTCAACCAAAAATTACTACGTATTATGTAAGAAGTAATAATAACCAGTTTTAATTTTTTTTCTTTTTTTTCGATATATTATTAGGAACACCATCCTCAATATGCCTTCAGCTATGGTGTCAAAGATTTAAATACTGGTGATGTTAAATCACAATGGGAATCGAGAGAAGGCGATACAATAAAAGGTCATTACAGCGTTTTAGAGCCGGATGGTTCCATACGTACAGTTTCCTATACAGCTGATGCTAAAAATGGTTTCAATGCTATTGTTAAAACGGTGGGAGCAAGCTCTCATCCGGTTACCGATACACCTCATAACCCAAATAGCAAAAATGATGATACCTCGCAGTCCAAAATTAATCCTTATAGTAAAAATCAAGAACATATTGTCCTGTCTTCGGATATTAATCATGTTAAGCAACCTATTGAAGATATTTCTCTTTCACATCCGAAAATACCAAATTTAATAGAATTTAAACCGCATGCACGTATTAAGCAAATTCCAATGGAAATGGTACCACACATGTCAAAAGAACCAGAAAACGAAAACTTAAATCTCCAACCTGAATCTATCTCAGTGCCATATAATAGCCAAGATAACGATTGGAAAGCTGTAATAAGTGATAGTTTTAATAATTATCCATCAAAGCATTCCTTGAAACCAATTTACTATCAAGCTGAAGATTATTTGGCAAACAGCAATATGCAACATCACACTGAAAGGGTTTCAGACAAATCCTCTTCCAAAAACAATGGCTTACATACGAAGTTTGTAGCTTCTAAACCTCTACAACCCCGTCCCAATCCTTCATATCTTGATGCTAGTTTAAATTCGATACCGGTGTATCATCATTACGGAAAAAATACGTTGACGACCACTGCTGGTCTCAAGCATTATTCAACCTTGCCCCACACACATAAGCACTTCCAAAAAAAACCTCACAACGAGTATTCTTCGTACTTTCAACGTCACAATAAGAAGCCACGTAAGTTGAAATCATCATCCTCAACAGGACCTATCGCCTTTCCCGAAAACCGAGAAGAAAGCGAACAGGACGCAGCTTCGGCGAGCTTGGTGCAATCAATGATAAAAAAAGATAACAAACACATGGCTCCGATGTATGCTCGCCACTACGTTGGCGGTAAAAAATTTACTTACCGTAAGCATAGAAATTAAATTCTCCATTCCATTGGATGTCGTATATACAACAAACACCAAACACAGGGTTTGTGCTGCATACTCTCTATCCTCCAGCTGTGTACTTTTACTTAAAATATTTATATTTCATTTATGTTCATTAAATATTACTTAAATGGTTGAAATGTATTTCACTTTTTCAAATAAAGTTCAAAAAATTTAGATCTAAAAAATGATATTTACTCGAAGAAAACAAAAACTTATGTCGTCATTTGTTCCGTATGAAAGAGAACAAATATGTCAAATATTATGAAATGTCGTCCGGACTGCACACACAATGCGGAACGCAATCGATTACTTAAGTGTTTCTTTTTCCCAAAATAAAAGAGAGAGTCGTAAGAAGGAATTAAAATTTAATCGAAATGATTAATTAATTGTTCCGAGAAGTGCAAAAGCTGAACCCAATCGAATCCTCAGAATATATCTGTTAAAATTTAATAGAGAATTATGAAAACAAGAAATAAAAAAAATAAAAAAAAATAAAAACAGTTGCATTCAAACGAATGAATTTAAACGACGTTGTTCTCTTACAAATTTGAATATTAACTACTCTAGATCGCTAACACAGCTAATACAGTTCTTTACCCGTTTCTGTTGTAAGGTATGAAAAATGATATCTTTCCATAACAACGGAGAAAGGAGGGACCAAACTTACCATAGTAAATTTCTCAATATAATCGATTCAAATTTCTCTTTTACATAAATTGTCATTAGATCTTCTTGTGTTTTTATGGATCACATCCAACATAAATTTTCTCCTTTCAGTTAGAATATTAAAATATTATTTTCCACCGATTTTTATTGCGAAATATTAAAAATCGGAACTTTTCTTCTTACAATGACTTTTTTTAAATGTAGCTTTATACGGAGAATGACTATAGTTCAATCCATTACGATCCACCTCACTAGTGCTTATCGTTGGGAAAAAAAAATTTGGTTTATATATCAAATTTAATCAAAGCCATCAAAAAGACAGTCTACCGTGCTATAGGCCGTATAAGATATAAAAATAAAAGTGCACGCCCAAAAGCCCGTCTATGCTCATAAAAACGATTTTCATATCGTTTTATTTATTTATTTTTATTTATTTATTTATTTTAATTCTACTTATACATGCAACTCAACTAAACAGATAACAGTCAAGTTCAATTGACACTTAAAGCAAAACTTATATTATATTAATAATAAAACTCAGTATAAGTACAATAAAACAAATAAAAAGGAAAAAAAAAAAGAAGCATGTGCACAACCTGCATAGAGCCACACTTACAACCGGTACAGGACCAAATTGCAAATGAACCCCTAAGCCATCGCAAACACGTATACCGATAATACTAACAACAATTCATTTTCGAATCGTAATGACTTTTAAAGATAGAAGCTAGTTTAAGCAAGACATAGGTAAATCGCGCGTATTAAGCAATGTTGCTTTAATGGACTTTAAAGAGTCCGATAATGAGAATAAGTGATAGACATCATTTAGGTTCTTGCAAACAACTCTGAGCGGGTTAAACAGCTCATAATTATATATACATTGACTAAGCTTAACCAAGATAAAGTGCCTAGAGAAGCGGTTGGGGACATTAAAGCTTATTTCACCAAGCAATGCAGGCGAGTCAATAGCACCATTTATTACTTTGATTACGAAGGAAACACCAAGAACAAGTCTACGTTTCTCGAGCGACAGTAAGGACAACAGAAGCAACTTATTTTCATGGGGGGGAAGAGAGGCAATCGGATCCCAACCCAAATTCCTAAAGGCAAAAAGCAAGAATTGCTTTTGAGCAGATTCTATTGAATCTACATGCTACCTATATGAAGGAGACCACACAACAGAGGCATACTCAAGTATAGGTTTAACCAAACACATGTACAGCCTTTTCGTAATGTAAGGATCCTCAAGCTCTTTGCACCACCTCTTTATAAAACCAAGCGCGGACCTAGCTTTGCTTATCGAGAGCTCAATATGCAAGTTGAAACGTAACCTATGGTCAAATAGAACGTCCTCCAACTTATGCGAATCTATGAAATACTGAGTAATGAATGACTTTCTTCTTGAGAAAGAAAGCTTCTTACATTTACTCAGATTTAGTTTCAGCAGATTCGAAGAGCATCATGCAACACAATTATCCAAGTCACCTTGAACCTGATGTGATTGCGGTTCAACAGAGAAGGAAGAAAAAAGTTTCACATCATCAGCATACACTAAGATCTGGCTGGCATTAGCCACCGATGGGAGATCTTTAAAGTATAAACTAAATAAAGTGGGACCTAAGTGGCTGCCTGGAGGTACTCCAGACATAACGGGAAATTCATCCGAGGTGATGAAGTTAAACAAAACTCTGAAAGATCTATTGCGCAGATAAGAGCTTATCCATTTCACTAAATAGAAAGGGAACCCAGAGGCTTGGAGTTTAAAGATAAGTAAATTATGGTTAACCATATCACACGCTTTGCTTAAATCAGTGTATATAACATTCCGAAAGCCGTGGTGGTGCGGAGAAATATACGAATTAACGGCAAAGGCCAAATGCTGAGTCACAATTCGCTCGAACAACTTGGGCAAGACACTCAACTTGCCAATGCCTCTATAGTTCTCAACAAGTTGTCTACTTCCACTTTTGTGGATAGGAAAAAGGAAACTACACTTCCAACACGAAGGGAAAATACCTAAACTCAAGGACATGTTAAAAATCTTTGACATCACACCACATAACTCGATAGCGCAAGATTTAAGTACACATGGTGGAATTCCATCAGGTCCAGGCGCACAACTGTATTTTAGAAAACTCAACCCTTTAAAAACGTCATCTTCCGAAATAACCAAGTTAGGAATTGAAACCGAGTTAGTTATAGGATATGGGTAGTTTGCTGATAAATCGAAATTAGCAATCGAAAAGTTTCGTCGGAAATACTCAGCAAACAGATTTGAGATTTCAAAATCATTCGAGGAATGAGACCCATTAAAAGAAACATGCGAGGGATATGTGGAAATTTGTCTTTTAGAGTTAACAAATTTGAAAAAGTATTTAGGATTAGCAAACAGAGAGGATTTAATGAACTGAAGGTATCTGCAGTAATAATGGTGGTTGAGGGAGTTAAATCTATGCCTCGCCACCGAGTAAGCGAAATAGTCGAGCGCAGAGTCACTTTTCGAATATTTTTTGAATAGCGTGTTTTTCCTATCAATGAAATATTCTTATAATTAAATTATTAAAGATAAGGATTTACTGTCCTGCCATGCGAACGCGAAAAAACTAACTTAAGACATAAAGGGCAGTGTTTAAAAACAAGCAATTACTTAATAAAATTACATATTGTATATAACCCTGGGGGCGCATGAAAAAGTTTTTATAATCCTTAACATATATCACAGTAAGTAGTGGGTAGAAAAAAACTTATCATTAACTATCAATAATGTTTAAATAGCTGTTATATAAAAGCGGATGTATTTAGATATAATTATTACTAAAATGTAATAAATGCAAGTATGCAAATAAATATAGTCATCTGCGCTTTGTGGCTTCGGAAGTAAACGTAAATAAACTACATCTCTGATTGAACGGTGGAACATATTTTTTTCAATATTTCGCTCGTTCCTTTTGGTTATTTTGGGAATACCATACATACATAACTGTACAGCGAGCGTACAGAAAGTGTTGAAACTTATTGCGAAAACAGTGAATCCACGATTACCTTTTTGCCTGTGGAATGAAGCTCATATTGGATTAAAAGATTTCATAAATAAGAACTATTGCCCCTTTGGTGCAAAGAAAAAATATCCGACGTTTCTAAGCGATTTTTCCGTGTACAAAAATAACTTCATTTTTGACCATGAAAATGCAGAACGCTTCGAAAACATATGAACTGATTTTTTGTGGCACGTTGGTTTTAACGGAATGTTGCAAACTGCCATACAGGTCATGGCGCTATCCATTTATTATGAGAAAAATTTAATGACAATATATTTTCGAAAAATGCCTATGTGAGCTTGCAATCTAACTCATTCGTAAAGATTATTTGTACTATTGGCGAAATAACAGCAGAATTATGTGGAAAAGTGGCAAAAATTGGTACATCAGGATTGAATTTTTACATAAATCCAGGGACTTGTCACTTACATGCAATTATTTTTGCATAGAAATGGCATGAAGTAATAAATAAAAGAACACACTTCTTGATATCTGGTAACGTTTAGTTTTTATTACAAATTAGAAAGAAATATTGTTACGAATTGAATATACATTTGACGATTTGAATATAAAATGAAAACTATTCAATTTTTTAAGAAACCAAATTCCAAAGTAAACGAAAACTAAACACACATTAATTACGCCCTAGCCGGCCTGATGCAGCTAGCGATTGTCGAAAAGATTAACAGCAAGTCGAAGGAAGCTATCGCGGTAAAAAGAATTAACCCAAAAATGTCACAGTATATAAGCGGAATATATGCGAATGTCGAGTCAAGAGATTTGAATTAAAATATTCGAACGGACAAGACCACAAAATTGTGACTATAAGTTGCTGTAAATAATATGTAAAAAGTAAATCGCTTAAGAATAAACCTTTGCTATCCTAAAAATCCCATAGAAGAATCAGCGCAAACTTTACCTCAAAAAAAAGTTTTGTTTGAAAAGTTTTCCCACCTTTGCAGCGAATGTCCACTACGTCTAGAATTTCTCTTTTTTTTTCTTCTTAATTAGTGGAATTTTAAGAGGCTAACTGAGATCTTAGTTAACTCTCAAGCCAAATTATTATTATTATTAGTGTTTACTGTAAAACCATTTTGGCATATTATTTCAATTAGTCTCCCATGTAAGCGTGATGTTGTAATTATGTAATTTTAAAAATTCAAAAAATAGACGGTCAGTGGACGAAAAGAAGGTTATTTAAAATACAAATATTTATTCAGAATCTCATTTCCTTCGAGAATGAAATGGGATCACCTTTAATACGGTTGATTTAAACGATTTTGATATAACAAGGTTTACCAATAAGAATACATACACTTTTTTTTCCCAAATTTTTTGGTCTAGCACGAATCCAAAGAAAAATTTTATT